AACGCCGGAAAAAAGCATCTAGACTGGCGCGATCCTCCGGAATAAAGCCCTTTTCTGGAGGATCTCTTATTCCTACTTTAAGAGATCCTCCGGAAAAGGGCTTTTTTCCGGAGGATCGGGGCCAGTGTAGACACTCTTTTCCGGCTTTTCTAAAAGCCGGAAAAAAGCGGCGGACATTTTTATTTAAATGCCGCCGGGGATATTTAAATCCCCCGCGGATTTCCCTATTACGACCTGTGAAATTAGCATGCCCCTTTCAGAAAAGGGGCCCGTGTAGACATAGCCAAAGAGTAATAGTAAAATGTTTTTAAGTACATCAGAAGCAGGAAGCTGGCTAAACAACCAGTGGGTCCCTTGGACAATCAATATGTTAAATGAGCACTCAAAGATGACAAAGTCATAGCGGAGAAGCTCGATGAATTCTTTGCTTTGGTCTTCATGGCTGAGGATATTGGGGAGATTTCCAAACCTGAGCCATTCTTTTTGGTTGAGAAATCTGAGGAATTGTCCCAGATTAAGATGTCATTAGAGGAGGCTTTGAAACAAATTGATAAACTTAACAGTAACAAGTCACCAGGACCAGATGACATTCACCCAAGAGTTCTGAAAGAACTCAAATGGGAAATTGAAGAACTATTAACTGTGATTTGTAATCTATCCTTTAAATCGGCTTCCATACCTAATGATTGGAAGATTGCTAATGGCACACCAATATTTTAAAAGGGCTCTAGAGTGGATCCTGGCAATTACAGACCAGTAAGTCTGATGTCAGTACCAGGCAAATTTGTTGACTCTATATTAAAGAATTGTAAGCAGGGGCTGAACTGCTGCTTGCTATCAGCCAGCTAAAAGGAGGGGTGGGTGTGCCCATTACAATTGTTTAGCTCTGCAAGGTAATTAACTGTTAACTGTTGATATGTAAATACAGCTCTGGAGAGAATATGAGGTGTGTAAATCCCATTCAGCCAGGGCTGATGGAGGATCAGTGTTGGAATGGAATGTGGAGAATTGTAAATAATTTGGGGCAGTTGTGGGGGTTACTAATCATGCTACCCCTAAATGTGGGAACTGTAAAACATGGCACCAGTGCTTGCAGGAGCGACATCACCATCATGGTAAGAGGTCTCAGAGGAACAAGCTTCCCTCCTTCCAGAATTAAGTGAACTGAGTTGGGGGAAGGGTTAAAGGGCTTGAGTCAGCCTGCTTCACACCTGCCAGGTGTGAGCTATAAGACTGGCCCAACCTGCTCCTTTCCTCCTGGCTATGTTTAGACTGGCATGATTTTCCGGAAATGCTTATAACAGAACAGTTTTCTGTTAACAGCATTTGCAGAAAAGAGCATCTAGATTGGCACAGACACTTTTCTGCAAAAGCACTTTTTCTGGAAAAGCGTCCATGCCAATCTAGACACGCTTTTCCGCAAAAAAGCCCCCATTGCCATTTTTGCGATTGGGGTTTTTTTGCGGAAAACAAATCTGGGCTGTCTACACTGGCCCTTTTGTGCAAAAGTTTCGCGCAAAAGGACTTTTGCCCGCACGGGAGCAGCATAGTATTTCCGCAAGAACACTGACAATCTTACATGAGATCGTCAGTGCTTTTGTGGAAATTCAAGCGGCCAGTGTAGACTGCTGGCAAGTTTTTCTGGAAAAGTGGCTGATTTTCTGGAAACACTGGCCAGTCTAGACACAGCCAATAGGAACTAAGTATAATGCACTTGGTTTCTCAGAGCAGGATTCTGAGTTCATTCATTTTATTTGGAGTCATTCCAGTAAGAAGGATCACCTGCACCACAAAGGGGCCAGTGTAGACAGCTGGAAAAGACTTTTGCTCAAAAGCAGGCTAAACGGAAAAAAGCGGATTGGATGCTGGGAGACCCCGTAGGAGCCCCGGACTTCCTGGTAACCCGAGCTGGTAACCCCCTATCTATCCCCCCACCCCTATTTCTACCCGGGTTGGAAGGTGAAACCCTGCCGGTGAACTTTGGGATTCTGGGTAGCACGGACCAGGGACAGAGACATTTGGGGTTTTGGACTCTTTGGACTTCAGGTGATTCTTGGCTGTGGGGAGGGGGAGCTTAGCTCATGTTTGGGTTATGAACTCTGTTTGTGGTGTTTCCCCCAAGTTAATGCCATATGACTTCTCTTTCTGTTTCATTAAATGTTTCTTTCCTACACTTAGGCTCAGTGCTTGCACGTGGGGAAGCATTGCCTCTCAGAGGCACCCAGGGGTGTGTGAATTTCCCAGATTAGTGGGTGGGGGCTCGGGCAGGTTCTGTGTGAGATGGACCCCAAGATACTGAACCCAGCCCTGGTTACTGCCAGATCTACCCGGCAGAAGGGTTGCAGAATACAATTGTCAGACACATGGTTAAATATAATTTGTTGGGGGAAAGTCAATATAGTTTCTGTAAAGGGAAATCATGCCTTACTAATCTGCTAGAGTTCTTTGAGGAGGTCAACAAACATGTGGACAAGGGGGATCCAGTAGATATAATATATTTAGATTTTCAGAAAGCCTTTGACAAGGTCCCTCAAGAAAGACTCTTAAGTAAAGTAAGTTGTCCTGGTATAAGAGATAAGGTCCTTTAGTGGATTGGTAATTGGTTAGAAGACAGGAAACAAAGGGTAGGAATAAATGATAAGTTTTCAGAGTGAAGAAAGGTATCTAGTGGGATCCCCCAAGGGTCTGTCCTGGGATTCATCCTATTCAGTTTATTTATAAATGATCAAGAGTAAGGGGTAAACAGTGAGGTGGAAAAATTTTCAGATGATACCAAACTGCTCAAGATAGTTAAGACCAAAACAGACTGTGAAGAGCCTAAAAAAGATTTCACCAAAGTAAGTGATTGGGCAACAAAATGGCAAATGAAATTTAATGTTGATAAATGTAAAGTAATGCACACTGGAAAACATAATCCCAACTATA